TTGAGTCTGTTTCAGTAATTTGGAGTCATTTTATATGTCATTTCAGTCCTCAAACCATGCTTGTATGCTTGCATTCATCACCTCTTTCATGTTTTGAGGATGTGTCCTTTTATGCCTAGAAATGAGCTTTGGTGCATGCATTTTGTTTAAGTCACTTAGGCTGCCATACCAGTGGATTTTGGGGGCTCATTTTACATATTGAAACTCTGATTTGTATTGAAAAGTGCATGCCATGAGTGGTTGGGGTGGTTGTAGTAGGATACTCTCTTTAGTGGCCTTGAATGCTTCCTCTTTTGTATCCATTTCCTAGCATGTTTTGGTGCCATCTTTTGCATGCATTTTAGAGTCTAACATGAGTGTTTGGTATCCATGTACCTCACCTTTGGGTTCTCTTGAGAATAGCCCTCCATGCCTTAGCTTTAGGCCCCTTTGATTTGCTTGTTTGGTATGCTTGTTGTCCATCATTTTGGCATCTTTGGCCACTGTTTTGGGGTGTGGCTGGGGCCTCCCATTTCATCCTAAGTCCACTCTTGTATATGGTTGCATGCTTGACTTGTTACCTTTAGTTGCATGCTTGCATTGTGCATGTTTACATTACATTTTAGGTTGCATTGCATTGCATCTCGCATGCTTAGTACATTACATTTGCATGTTTAGGTTACCTTGCATTTGGCATACCTTGTAACTTAGCCTCATGTTGCATAGTTAAGCCACATTTGCATACATATATTGCATTGTTTGGTTTGGGGTGTCAAACCAAACATGAGAATTGAGATGCGTTCGTACTCAAAGTGACGTAACGCGCCTCGATCCTCGGTCGCCGACCCCCCTTGACCTCAACATGAAAGGGTGGTTGCATTCATGTGTTTTGTTTGCATGCATTTACATTAAGTTGCTAACTTGGCCTCTTAGGCCATCATGCATCAAAATGCATAATTGATGGCCCGAGGATCGAGGGCCATGCTCCCTTGAGTCCATTACATGACAGGGAGTGTGTCCATGCATACATTTGCCTAAAAATTCCATGCCATACACTGCTTGCCCTCTGCTGCTGTCAACTGCAGGATCTGCAGGATGTTTTGGCCGGTCGGCTAAATACAGTGCCGACCGGCCAGGAATTTGTGGCCGATAGCTTATTCAGTGGCCGGTGATCATCCCCTTCGGCCGGTGGTGTTTCTACTTAGTTAGTGGTATCCCCTTGCATCCAAAGAGCATACCCTTGGACTTTGGCAGTCCTCAGAGGAGCAAGGTAGTGTTAATAGAGGCAGTAGTGCTATGATAGCGAGTTTCCGGGCGAGACGAGTCAAGCATGCATCATTCACGCACCTCGAGGCGGGGTTGCGGCTACCTTTCTTCTCCATTGAATTTGTTAATTAATTAGAAATTTTTGTAATTAATTATTTAGCTTGAGAGTTAATTAATTAGGTGGTTTGTAATATTTATTCAGACCCTCCGAGCGAGGGCAATTGTATAATAAGCGTGCGTGAGTGTGTGTATATCTCCCAACCCCACGTCTTTCTTCCCTTTTATTTACTAGCTTTCGATGGTTAGCCTAGGGCATGTTTCAATTAGCATACAGTATGATAGCATGCGTGCATCCATACATTTGTCTTACATGCACCGGGCTCGGCGCATCATACTAACTGCATTCGTATTTCAATTCCAAAGTTGAATACATGTTAGTTATAGCATCATCATATGCCATCTTAGAATAGCCGAGCCTATTGTAGTTGCATCTTGTATGTGTTGCATTAGCCATCTTAACATGAGCTGGGATCATGCATTGATTACTAACTAGCTTTTGTTTTGGCTCGGAGTACTAGGTAAGCATTTACGCTTTAGCATATCGCATGCGTGTGAGTGTTGCCATAATAGCATGATTACCATGAGGCTAGCTGCTTATGTGATATAACTGCTTGAGTGCCTGTGGGTGGAGGTTGAATTACCTAAATTGGAATAATGCATTAAAACTATGAGTTTTAAGCCCACTAGATAGTGGCAAAACCATCTTTTCTAAAACCCACTTGAGGGTGGCAAAACCTGCATTTTAGCCTACTTACGAGTAGCAAACCATTTTCGAAACAAGCATGAAATGTTTTGTCCCAATTTAGGCGATTTGGTCTATACTTGTTTGCTGTGCGCATAACATAGTAATTCTAGGCTAATAACCGGAATAAGAACACATAATGTTTTCAAAAACGGATATCACGGTTAGTAGAGGCCGATCTTCGGATCGGGCGAGAGGGGGTGCTCATAGCTGACCTTCCCCAATCGTACCCAAGCTCCCGAGCCGAGGCAACTTTGGTGATGACGGACACGTGGCCTTTGGCACCGAGTCAGGGTTTCCTAAATTCCCCATAAAAAATATTTAGGTGGCAACTCTGTATCTGGCAAAGCAATCCATGTTTGGCACTTCTTTCAAAAAAATCTATTTTTCTCAAAACGATTTGCCAGATCTGGACTCTTTGATGATTCATCGGTCTTGCATTGCACTCTGCGAGATTAGATACAGGACCGTGACACCAATTGAGTCCGAACTGTAGCATGAGGCCCGAGGGCGCGTCTATAGTGGGTAAGTGGTTTCGGGTGGTCTAGGAGTGGTGGCTTAGGTTGTCGGGTGGTCTAGAGGGGAGAAGAGGTCTGTTGGCTGCTAGAGGAAGAAGAAATAAGATGAAGAAACTGCTGGGCAGTGAAGAACATGGGCCAATAGGGAGGAGGGGATGGTCTAGGGTTTTTGTGTTTTGGCTCTGATACCAAAAAGAATGAAAAGAATTATTTGGCTTACCTGTGAATAAGGTAGAGCCTTGTATTTATAATGAAAGAATATTACAAAATAGGAAACAAACAAAATAGGAAATGAAGATAAAAAATGTATTAAATCTGTTATTGACACAATCACAGATTTTTTACACATAGGAAACGAAGATAGAAAAATGTATTAAATATGTGATTGACACAATCATAGATTTTATATACACTACCATAATTACAATATTACTCTTTCCTAATTCCAACACTACCATAATTATAATATCACTATTTCCTAATTCCAACAGGTTATAGGCTTTTTGGTTTTTTTTGTAACTTTTTGACTTTTAGGCTAAAACAATTATTTCCCATACGAGGCCTTAGTACTTCTCTAAATTGCTCAATGTCATTTTTTCCTACTCATTATGTCTTTTAGGACATAGCTACGGGGAAAACAATTGGCAATGGTAGAGCACAAGATGGGCTGTATTTTCTGGATGCCGTTCCTCCTGTCGTCCCATCTCAGGCTCTCAAGTGCACTACTGCTCTCCTCTTTATCTCCTTCATCGGTGGCATCACCATTGGGTCATCCTTCCTTTTGTGTTTTGGAGAAACTTTTTCCTTCTTTAGTTCATGATTGTCCTAAGAGTATTTTTGGTTGTGATGCTTGTGAACTTGCAAAGCATAAACGTACTTGTTACCCTTCAAATAATAAAAGTACTTTCCTTTTTATGCTTATTCATATCGATGTGTGGAGCCTTTTCCCAGTGGTTTCTACTTCTGATATCAATGGTTTGTTATATTTATTGATTGTTATTTCCATGTGACTTAGATTTACTTGCTTCGAACTAAGAGTGAAGTTTTTTTTCTTGTTTCCAAACTTTTCATAAAATGGTGAGCAATCTTTTTAATGCTCAAATCAAAATTCTTCGTAGTGATAATGGGACTGAGTATGTTGATGGAGTTTTTTGAGCATACCTAGAGGAGCATGACATCCTTTATCAGACTAGTTGTGTTGGTACTCATCAGTACAATGGGGTTACCGAACTCAAGCATGGCCATCTTGAAGTTGCTCGCTCTCTCTTGCTTACCATGAATGTCCCTAAGTCATTTTGGGGTGATGCTATTCTTACCGCTGCTTACCTTATCAACCTTATGCCTTCTAGTGTCCTCCAATTCTAGATTCCTTTTCAACTGCTTCCTATACCATATCCCACATCTTTTCTTCCTCCTCAGTTGTTTGGGTGTGTCTATTTTGTTCATTTGCAACCTCGTACTCACGGGAACTTGATCCTAAGGCTGTGCGTTGTGTCTTTATTGGTTATTCTGCTACTCAGAAGGGTTACAAATGCTATGATCCTCATACTCGCAAAGTGTGTATTAGTATGGATGTCACTTTTCGGGAATCTGCGTCCTTCTTTCCTTCTCCCCCGCCATCTCCTCAGAGGGAGAGTAGTAATGGTATAGATAAGATTACGAATGAGGAGATGGCCTGTTAGCACGAGTTGTCTTTTTTCCTTCCTAGTCAGTAGACTGTTATTTGTGGTGAGGGGAAGCCTAATTGTTCTCTTGATGTGGAGCCGGACATTGGTGGTCATTTGGACAAGGTTGATCTTAAGACTTATTCTCGGCATCCGAAAGAGCAAGCTTCCCTTGTGCCACCAGACCCATCATCATCCATCATGCCAGTTCCAGATAATGCATCTCAGTCTATTCCTTTACCTATAGTTGAGAGTCCTGTTGTCAATGATTCAAGTCTTCCTTTTGCTCTTAGAAAGGGGGTTAGGGCTTGTACTCAACACCTCATTTCTAAATTTGTGTCATATGAATCATTGTCTTCTACATATCATGCTTTGGTTTCATCTTTGTCTTCATGTATTTCCCAAGATTGGAACAAAGCTATCAATGATCCTAAGTGGAAAGTAGCTATGGTAGAAGAGATGCAAGCTCCAAGCAAGAATAACACTTGGGAGTTGGTTCCTTTTCCTAGTGGAAAATGGCCTGTAGGGTGTAAGTGGGTGTTCACCATCAACCAGAAAGCAGATGGAACAATTGAACGATACAAAGCACAATTAGTGGCCAAGGGGTTTACTCAAACATATGGAATTGGTTTCCAAGAAACCTTTGCTCCTGTGGCAAAGATGAATTCCATTCGAGCTATTCTCTCATATGCAACTAATTTGGGATAGCCTTTACAACAGTTAGACGTGAAGAATGCATTTCTCCATGGTGATTTGGAGGAGGAGGTATATATGGATGTACCACCAGGATTCTCATCTCAGTCTACAGTTAGGAAAGTTTATAGGTTGAAAAAGGCGTTATATGGTTTGAAACAGTCTCCTCAAGCTTGGTTTGATAGATTCCTAAAGGCTATGTTGAGATTCGGGTATAAGCAAAATAATGCAAATCACACAATGCTTGTCAAACGTTATGCAAATAAGGTAATTGTGCTTATAGTATATGTAGATGACATAGTTGTGACAGAAAATGATGAGGAAGAAGTGACACATCTTAAGATATTGTTGGCCAAGGAATTTGAGATTCAAGACCTTGGTTCGTTGAGGTACTTTCTTGGAATTGAAGTTGCCATATCTGACAAAGGCATCTTTATTTCTCAGCGGAAGTATATCCTAGATCTTCTTGAGGAAACTGGCATGTTAGGCTCTATGTTACTAGAAAACACTAATACCCTAGCGAATTACGTATTGGTACGCACGTTCCGAAATATGGTACACTTCCGTTCTAAAATGGTAAATTTAGTGATCTAAAGCGATCTCAAAAGTTTTTTTTTTAATGTCCTTAAATGTTACCTTAGGAGGAAAAAAAATAAAATATAATGAATTAAAATCTAAGGTGAGTTAAGTTTTGACAAGGCAAAAACATCAAAAAAATGGGTCATAATACTCATAGAAAATATTACATTTTAGTAAATGTCTAATACTTTAAAAAAAAATTACTCTAGAAGTACCTTAAATTTTTAAATATAATATATAGTAGTCTACCCCTATCGTACCACATTTTAGAGCATGTGGTGTACCACGTTCTCGTTCCCATTCCACGTATCAGAATAATCCACGCTCTAGGTGACATAGGTTAGGCTGCCGACCAACTAATTCACCAATTGAGGCTAATCACCATCTTTGTAGTGGTGTTGGTGATCTTGTGGAGAAGGAAAGGTACCAGCGACTTGTGGCAAGACTTATATATCTATCCCACACTTGTCTAGATTTTGCCTATGCGGTTGAGATAGTGAGTCAATTTATGCATGAGCCTCGTGCACCTCATTTGGATGCATTGTATCGCATTTTGAGGTATCTTATATCTGCTCCTGGAAAAGGGATTTTATTTTCCAATCATGGTCACTTGAGGTTGGAGGCATTCACAGATGTTGATTGGGCTAGTTCTATAGATGACATGCGATCTACCTCCGGTTACTGTGCATTTGTGGGTGGGAATTTAGTCTTATGATGTAGTAAGAAACAAGTAGTGGTGTCCAGATCTAGTGCAGAGGTAGAATACAGA